GTCCTCGCTTACAGTACATGGCTGACATTTTTGTATCTAACCCCCTTTTAAACTTCCAAAGGAAAAGAGAATATTTTATTTCCTCTTAGTCTCCCTCATCTCAGAAAGCAAGTGATATGAGAATGGAATTAGAACAGCAGCTTGATGGATCTCCACTCCCAAACTTGATTAGGGTGGTAAGGAATTTTCATGTCTGCTTTGCTGTTCAGTTCTTTCCCAGGCACAGCAGCATGTAACTCACTTGAGGTTGGACAATTGCACAGCAGCTCTCAGAGCACCAAGCAACCAGCAGTAAATCTGTCACACTTAATGTTCTTCTTATTCTGCTGCTGGCTGAGGATGGCAGTGAGCTGCTGCAGGGACACCAGCGCAGCCTGCAGACACAGGATGACGACGCTGTTGGCTAAGAGATCTCTTTAAAAAGGTTTGAGTTTCTGCTCTAACTGACTTGGCTTTCCTGACTGTTAAAGGAAATTTGGTAGCAGGCCAGTGGCCTCTTGAAGCCATGAATTAGCTCTTAAAGTGCTATGGAAGCGCTAATTTTAAAAATGAATAATAAATAATCTTCTTGAACAATCTAGGAGGAATCCTGCATTGGCTGGTAGCATGTAGATTATGCCATCAGTTGGCTCATCATTGTCAATTACTCAACCAAGCTGGATTCTACTCAAAGCACCAATTGTGCTAACTTTAGGCTGTAGTTTTGGACTTGCCTTCTAGAAATAGAAACAATATGCGATTAATTAGCGTTGCAGTTTCTCTGCATTCATTATATATAATTTTTAATCAAGATTTATGCCCTAAACTTGCTGATCTCCATTTACTGATGCAATTTGAATTGCCTCCACCAGAGTCTGTCTTGTGCATGCAGAAATGATGGACAAAATTTCCATGCTTGATGTTCTTATTGCTTAGTTTGTATTCGCATTGTTGGATGACCAAAGATTTCCATGTGGGTGCAGAGGAGGCTTTTTTTTTGGTCTGGGGAAGAGAGATACTGTTGATAGTTGCTGCTTTTGTGACATGAAGTCCCTAAAAATTTTAATCTTGGAAGGCTTGACTTCAGATGTGGTCATGATCTTACTGTTACCATTTTAAAGTTCTCTGAACAACAGTGAATATACTGGGATTGCAAGAAAGAGAACTTGCTGGTACTGGTTGGATCAGTGCAAATGGGACTGTTTGACATCAAGGCAGCCAAGTTTAACTGTAGAGTTCTTTTTTTATATTACAAGAAATGACTGGATGGTGTTTGGCTTAAAGGGAAAAATGTTTCTTATTAAAAACAGACTTGGTTGCTGAATTATTCTGTATAACTGTCTTTATACATTACCAAATTGAAGAAGTATCCTAAGGTAGGTACTAGTTTGAGAAATCACTCTGAATAGATATTTCTTCCTTATACTTGAGCACAGGCAGAAGAACTTGAAGCTCTTATAAAATTTGTAGGTTGTTAGCTGAGTATCACAGTGAGGAACTTACATGGCAAATGACCTTTCTAACAGTTTATCAGTTTCATAAATACTTTTCCAAAGAGTAAAACACTTTTCAGCAGTCAGATTTTGCTTCCTACACGGCGTGATACGAAGACTGGTAGAATGTCTTTCCTCATCACCTAACGGACTAAATCAGAATGTTCTCCCAGTATAAAATCAGATGAAGGGGAGAGAAAGGGAAATGTCACTCAGTTAATACTCTTTTACCTGTAAGTTTTAGCTTTGGCTAACACTTTCTTATGCATGGGAAGAAAATGTTCCAGACTTTTGGAAAGGGACCGGCTGGAAACTGTTGAAGTAGGAAACTTAGACCCTGCTGTATGACGTGGCCATGGAGCTCTGAACGAGGTTCAGGGTGGTCAGCACACCTTGGCTTTGACCTGTGTAACCATTTATGTTATGTAGCCAACATCCTCAAGATGTGTTTGGGAAGGTGGGAGGTATAAGTAGTAGTTCCCACAAGGATATGAGTGTTTCCAGGAGGTCTCAGTACTCCATTAGGGATGTGAGATGTGAGGCTGAGCCCATGGGTGATCCAGCACCCAGGGCAGTTGGCCTCAGCAGTTTTTAGCAGCCAGCAGAGCTTCGCTGCTTGTGTGATTTAAATGGGGGACAGCTATCCCTAAACAGCTCTTAACCTGTATGTGCCATGAGCAGTCTGAGAAGCTCTAAAGAAGCCAATGGAATCACTTAGTATAATTTGAAATAAAAATCTACTACAGAGTGTTTAGGAGAAGCAATAGTGTGAAGGTATTAAAGGTGTCCTGAGCAACCTGGTGTAG